TCTGCAATTTGTATACGGGGTAAAAATGGGAGTTCATTAGCCACTTGAATCAAAGTGTGAAATATGATATATCAAGAACTATGTAATGTTTTGAACTACCAACAACAAAAAATAAAATAAAACTAGTTGCCAATATACTTTTAAAAAAATGTTTTAATATGTTCCCCCATCTCCCATCCTACTGTGATCCTTATAAACCTTTTTCAAGGATGTTAACTCCAGTATTATGTCTAGAATATTGTTTTTTTCTTCATCAAAAACTGACAGTAGACAAAAATGAAAATAAAAATTTAAGTCTTGTTTATACAGAATAAAAACAGTTCAGACCATAAGAGAGGAAAATTAGATTACAAGAATTCACTTTTTAAAAAAACACAGCTCTTCTGAAAAAGGTGTACTTTTTATTCCTTAATCTATGATCACTTAATCACTATTTCAGGGATTAAGGGACTCTGAACTGCTAAGCAAACCATGACATATTTTATATGCATAGAAGAATTTTATGTGCATAAGATAGGTAATACTTTGACAAATTCACTTTTAAATGTTTTCGACATCAGCTGCTTAAAACTAATTACAACAAAATGACCTGGTACTCAACGGAGACACAGAGAGTGACCTTGGACATGATTAAAAACAGAACAAACATGCAGAAACCTCTGGGTCTGGCATTGTGGGCCACAGAATGCATCCTGAGTTTGTCTGAGGTGATGTGTAGACCTTTAACTATATTAGAGTTCATTCACTACAGTTCTTTCCACTGTGCACTTTTTCATTAAATTTAATCCTTTGGAGTGATTCCTGCAATAGGAGTCTTTAGTATATTGGAAGTACCATAGAAGAGAGTAAGATTCCCGTTATTCCCATAAGCCTAATCATGTTTCTTCTTTAGAAAGTGTAAGATGCATGGCCATCACCCAAGTGAGCTGCTCTTCAGTGACCACTGGGTCATGTAATTTGTCCTTACATGCTCAGGAGAGCCAGCCCACATATGAGCAATGGTAATGGCGTAATAATTTGTTTCTTATCAGGAAAACAGTATTTTAGTTTTTGTTAAAGTCATGCTTATCAAAAGTAATAAGGACTCATCTTGATTTATATATACACCCTTAGGTCTATACAGATAAAAGTATAAGAATATGATCATTTCTGTTCTTTGCAAAGTACTCAGGACTCTAAAAGAAACTTCACAAGCTGACTAAATGCCCATTTTTATACCAATTTATAAATTCAAAAGGTCTCCAAAAAGAAAAAGGAGATACTATTTTCAGCAATCAGTTTTGGATTGGGAGTACTTCTGCCACTCGAAATTTTAATGGTTTTCTCCTTAGGTTTTAAATTCCTTTTACACATTTGTGACATTAGAGACCCTAATAAAATCTTCACTTTAGCTGGCTAGCTCTCTATACATTCATGTGCGTGTGCAGACACACATACACACACAATATGTAATGCTTTCTGGTTTACTTCAAGAAGAAGAATGAAAATGTTTATGCCATTTACCAGTTCTTATGCAGATTTGGTGAATTTCATGAAAACATTTAAGAGTGCAGTAATTTCCCAAAATTTAGTATTTAAATGAAAAATCGGGTCCTAACTGGGCCTATTATATTGACTTCTAATTATGTCATGCACTACTTAACTGGAACAGCCTACCTTTGAAAAGAGGGCTTTTCCAGTCTTAAGGTCAGAGATAGAATCAACAGTCCAAACAATAAATACAAAAATATTTTTCAGTTGGGAATTCTAATACTTCTGTGCCCTCAACAACATTGAATACTGTAGAGTGTCTGATACACCACACTAAGCACCAGCAAAAGAGATAAGCCCCAGACCTGGTTTTCAAGAAACTTACCATCTTTCGTGAGATATAAAAATATAAATAGGACATTCTAGGATTTTTAAATTACAAACTTCACCAGAGTAGAATGTAAAAAGACAGCATTTAGACGTTTTCAACTGACTTTAAACATTAAAGGCAAAAAGCCAAATACATTGAGTGAAGTCCAGCTCAATATGATAATCAAGTGAACCATGCTTTAGAACCCAAGAAGTTTTCCTATCACCCCAGGAACAGTGAACTAGAGATCCTCTAGATCAGTTAAATCCACAGCCACTTTCAAGAACAGGGTGTCATCTTTAATGTAGGTGTTCTTCGCATTCTCCAAAGTGGAATGAGCCACAAAGCGGGGACAGCCAGATGCAATGTTCATCTCCCCATCAGGTCTTTTAAAGCTGCTGCTATTGGGGTCAGCTTTGAAGGTCTCCATTATGTGGTTCTTTTTGCCACTTTGGTCCAGAAGCATCAGAGTTACCCTCTGCTTAAATGGCCACTGCAAGAGTGAGTCAAACTCTCCTCGCATCACCACAAAGTACAGGGACAGGTGGGTTCCCTTGCCAGACCCATCCCCATTCAGGTATGCTCTGGCACAGAGCCGATAGCCACAGCGGCTGGTGTAGAAAGGTTGACTGAAGATGGACACTATGTGCCCGTCCACTGCCTCCTTCTTCTTCATCTTGTAGTCTGTCACCTTCCAAATGAGCTTTCCATTATAGCAGGCACCCTCCAGCAGTTTAAATCGCTCTTCATTTTTATTCAACTGTGCTTTATGAATATTAATGTGTGCATCATGTTTGTTAGTCTCCCCTTCTAAAACAACTGCAAAGGAAACAAACAAAAGGTTTCATCGCCTGAGAAGTTTCTTTAAAATTTGCCCAAAGTGGAATTTTATTACCTGAAGAGAAACAATAACATTCTGACTCCTAACGATGGTCTGAATTCAATGCCCATAAATGAACCACTTATATTAATAATATTAACTCAGTGAACAGTAAGTCTTGTTTTGCAAACAAAACAAAACACACACGTAAAACACACATATACAAAGAAACGTGTGTGTGTGTGTGTGTGTGCGTGTTTAATCTGGGGACTGAGCCCATGAGTGCTTGGCTTAATCACTGAGCCATATCCAGTCCTTTTTTAATTTTTTTTTTATTTTAAGACAGTGTCTTGCAAAGTTGCTTAGGGCCTGGCTAAGGGCCTGCTTAGGACCTTTTGCTGAGGTTGGCTTTGAACTCATGATCTTCCTGCCTCATCCTTCCTGAGTCACTGAGATTTCAGGCACGAACGCCTTGCTAAGAATGTGTACTCTTAAGAGGCTTGCCAAAGTGTAGATCAAATACTGCATTTGCATAGCAAGAATTGACATGGTGAGTCCCATACTCTTCTAATCAGAACTCTTTTAAATAGCCAAACTCTTCTGGTTTTTTGACATCTAAAAATCATCTTATCACATTCTCCCTTAACTTTCTCATTTTCCACTCTCCTTAAAAATCACCACTCCCTGTTCTTGGAATTTCCTGGCCCATTTCTACCCCTTGCTGTTTCCACTCCCCATTCAAGCCTCCCTCATTTTTGCCTGAGCAGCCAGAATCTCACACTCCTTTTTTTACAAATAATAAATTCAGCCATTATTTATCCTGGAGAGATGTGATTATTCTACAAGATGTTTGCTTATGTCATGCATACATGCCGATAAATGAATCACCAAAAGAGAAGTAAAATATTAGACATACCTAATCTTTGATCATTGGTTTCTAATAGGGTAATTTTCTGTTTCATCGTATCAATCGCTTCCATCAAAGGCCTTAGGTCAAATTTATTTTGTTGCTGGTTAACCATTTGTAATAACTGACGCACTTGAGCTTCTAGCCAAGCAGACTTGTCCATGTGACTGGCAAGAACCTTTCGGCAGAAAATGGATCATAACGTTAAAATAACTTTTAAGTCAATATTCTAGTGATGTGTTGAGATTAAAATTTTTCAACTCAAAACATTTGTTACTTAATCAATTAATGAAATGAAAAATACACAATTCAGAAAAATCAATGAGGACTTCAGAGAGACAAGCTCCTAATTACCTTCCTCCTCCTCTCTTATCCCAACTACTGTTCCAAATCTTTGAACCTTTCTTCTTAATTTTTACTCCTCCTCCAGTTTTTCTGTGCTTGTTTCTCTAACCCATCTTTATATGTCTTTCTCTGGTTGTCTCTACTCTTGCCTTATCACTTCCTTCTCTTAGATGCTGCTTTCTAGATTCACTCCTGCTCTGCTAGAAGGCAGAGAGTCCTGCAAACAGACCCACCTATTCCGGCCTGAGCACTGCAAGTGGAACTGAAGGCCTAAAGAGACCTTTGATTGTTCTCTTGGGTGAAAGGGATTAAATAAAACGACCTTGTCCTAAGTGCCTTCATTCTAACTGGTTGGTCTTTGTATTAAACCAATACCAGAATTGAGAAAGTAACATATAATGGATTACTTTTTTCCTGGACACAAATATTTATACACACATAAACATGCAAATATATGTATATGTAAATATACACACACAAATTAAATATGCTGACTAAGTATGAAAATTATATGGCCTAGATTTCTAGGTTTTCTGGGATAAACTAGATTTCAAATATACTAATCATTCTATATGTCTTGAAATCTTTCACTCTGAATTTTTAATCATGATGAAGACATTATTCATTAGGAATCCATGTGTGATTATTTAACATTCATGATTTACAAAGTAATTTTGTTCTATATTTTAATGATGCTTAAAGCATTTTCTCTCCAAGGGAATAGTTTCACTTTGTTCCCTACAAAATGCAGAACTACAGATGCTCTCAAAGAATCTGAAATAAAATAATACTCACCCAACATTAATTAAAACCCTAATTCCCTAAGTTATATGAAAGTATTATATAAATACTAAATTTTTGACATTTCTACATGTGGTGGGCTTATGAAAAAAATGATCTTTATTAGGAAGTAAATACTGAAGCACGTAGAGGTAAAAGTTTGTAATTTTTGTAGTGTATTATCAATGGTTCAGAAAGAACAAACTCACACACGTGTGTGCACACACACACTTGCTGGAGGGGGAAAGGTGCAAATGAAGCAAATGGGACAAAACATTGACAATGGACAAATCTGGGCAGAGGACATGTTATTTGCACCATCTTATTCTTATCATATATCTATATATTTAAAATTATTTCCACTTTAAAAGCTCAAAAAAAAAAGCCAGATATTTGCATTGAGTAAAAAGGCCATTTCTCACCTGGATATTTGAGAGAAAGCTTCCATTTTTGCCAAATAACTGTGAAAACTGCTTGAATTCCTTTTCAAATGTCTTTACAGTTTCTGCTAGCTTCTGGATTTTACTTTCTTTTTGTTCTAGGCTCTTATATAAGTCAGAAATCTAGTAACAGGAATGTGAATGAGAAAAAATGAGGTCATTAAAATGTATACATTCTGGCTAAAACAGTCCTTGCAGTTAAGAATGTGTTTCTAGGAAAAACATACATAAATTCTAGGAAAACATTTGCAGGTGGTTTCTAAAAATCGGACCCACAGAATTTCTCATCAGCTTGTTCTATACTTAACCTATTATGATGGTTCATCTAATAAAATGACATCACTTAGCTGAATTTACTGAACTTGTTCACTTCACCCATTCAAGTACACACTTAATAAACAACCAGAGTACTGATCACCATACCACATTATATATTATGTATATAATATATAACGTATATGTAATAATAACATATGTAATATAAATAACATATATGTATATAAATAAGTTATGTATTATATACATAATATTTAACGTATATGTAATTTACATTATATATTATATGTACATGATTTTAAAGTAATTTTTGCTATATTTTAGTAATGTTTAAAGCATTTTCTTCCCAATTTCTATCATACCCTTATATTTATTAGCTCTTTTAATCTTCAAAGAACCCTATAAGTTAAGGTGCAAATATTTGTTCCACTTTTTTTTAAGAAGATAAAACAGAAGAGGGTTTAAGTAACCCTCCCAGCATATGAACTAGGAAGTAGTAGGCAAAACAAATGAGTAGTCTGTTTACTTAGAATTTGTAATCTATTTGAGGGAAACAACCAGAAACTTAAAAGCAATCCTAGACAACCCTTCTCTTATCCTCACATCCATTCAATCTGGAATGTTTGCCAACTTTTAACTCCTAAAACAGAAGACTACAAACAAAAAAGTTCTTAAAACCTTTTCTCACTTCCTCTCATTTCAACCTTCATTATTTTTCACCTGAGCTGTGACAAACAGCTTCCTAACCGGGCCTACATTACACCTTCTACCCTGACATATACCAGGAAGTTCTGTGGGAACTGGATTGATGAAGATTTCACAGTCCACTGTAACTCCAGCGACTGAATGGGTGTAGGTGCTTGATAAATATTTGTTTAATAAATGAATGCATGAATGCTTTCCTTGTCTTTAGTCAATTCATGCTCCATACTGTGACCAGAATAATATTAAGAGACAAATCTGATCTCATGCCTTCCCCACTTAAAATGTGTGTTCTTCTTTTACAGGTTACACTGGGCCCCCTACTTGATCTGCCCCTGGCTATGCTTTTGGGCTCATGCCCATTCAGAACCTAAGTTTAACCTGGCCATCAAGATTACACAACTCCTAGTTCCCATCAGGCCCTGCTCACTCAAACACTTCCATCTTCATCTAAAACTTTTTAAGTTGGCAGCTTTTTAAGCTGCCATTCAAAGGTACATCTTCTCAGAAATATTTCCTGACCAATACTATCTACTCAGATAACCCTATCTACATTCCACAACACTCTATCTACATTCCTATGTATAACTTATCCTTACCATTCTTACAATTTGCTTTTGTTGTTGTTTTGTTCCTTTTACTCCACTAAACTGTTTCTTGAGGCTATATCTCATTCATTTATCACCAGGGCCTAGCACAGTCCTGGCACACAGAAGGCACTGCATGTGTGCCTGATGAATGCATGCTTAAACTATCATAACAAGCTCTTGACCTTGGGCCTCAGAATCTTCTTTGTAGACCACTGGGGCAGATTTCTACTTAGAACGAAAGCAAAGTCAGCATCCCTTCTCCTTGCCATCACTTCTAACCTTCTCCTATTCTTGTGGAGTCCATCTCATTAATAATTATTAATAATAATTCCTATGTTCCCCACCTTCCAAGTTTACAGCAATCCCTTTCAACCTCAGAATGTCTCTCCATGCTACCTCGTCATCCCATTCACATGAGCCTTCACCGCCACCACCTCTAGCATCTTGCCTCCACTTAATGCTTATTATGTACCAGGCACTGTACTCAGAGCTTAAATAGAGTATGTCAAAGTATGTCAAAGAGAGAGGGAAGAAAAAAAAAACCATTAAACACCTACTGCATGCCAGGTAAGAACTGAAAAGTGTGTGGACAGGCTATGGTGAGGCTGAAAAGTACACCATGAAGCACACTGGATTTAAAGTCAGAAGAGATGGACTTGAGATTGAATTCTACCACCTATCAGTTACAAACACATCAACATTTCTTTGAGCTTGGTTACATCATCTCTTGAATAAGGAGGTTGTACCTTAAGATCTCAAAATTACCTTCCAGTCCTAAGGTTCTATAATCCTATGAGCCTGTCTGGCCACTGGTAGAAAAACATCTATCTCCAAATAACTTATACTGAACAGAGAAGAATGTAAAAGTAGCAAGATAAAACAGGCAAACCCCAGCAATTCCATGGCCTCCCTTTATCTGTGAATTCGTGAAGACTTACCTGTTCTTCTAATTGAAAGTTCTTTTCTAAAACCAGAAGCATGTGTTCCCGCAAGGCTGAATGTTCATGCTCCTGCAGGTTCCCCCGCTTATCCTTCAAGATTAAGAGAAAAAGAAGTCCAGTGACTGAGAGGCTCCAAAAATAAGAAAAGCAGTGGAATATTTTGCTAATGCAGAAGCTTAGCAACTTTGCTTGCTATAAGAGTTTAAATATGCAACCCTCTCTAGGTGGGTTGCTGGAAAACTGACTCCACCAAGTCTCTTTTCCAGCTTTGGGGTTCTATAGTACCCATGAGGCAATCTTAAACTTACTTACACAGAGAATCTTTACCCTATATATAGCATAAATTAGATGCTATTTCTTTTTTTTCTATTTATCTCATTCTGCTTATGAGATGCATAATATTCTAAAATATGAATATATAATTATATAGTTGGTCCTTTATTGATAAACTCAAAGGTTGTTGTGTTGGGGAATTTGCTATATAAACAATGCTATAATATGCACTGTTGTGTGTGTGTGTTTGTATATGTGTGTGATCACTGTACACTTAAGAAAAGATTTCTGTAATAAATTCTTAGTAGAAGAATTGCAGGGTTAATATATGGGTTCTTTGTGTGTGTGTGTTGTGTGTGTGTGTGTGTGTGTGTGTGTGTGTGTATGTGTGTGATGCTTGGGATTGAACCCAGGGCCATGTGCATGTCAGGCAAGCACTCTACCAATTGAACTATATGCTCAGCCTTGGGTTCATTTCTAATTTTCATAGATATAATAAAACTACCCTTGAAAACAACTACATACTATAATTTTTTTAGTCTTTGTCAATTTGATGGTGAAATTATATTTCCTGTTATATTTATGTAAGAGTGAAATTGAGCACCTCTTCTTACATCTATCAGTTAACTGGATTTTTTTTTCCTGAAACTGCTCATTTTTTCCTTTGCCTACTTTCCTATTAAGTTGAATAACTTATTCATATGTAATAATTATTTGTATAATAAAGAAAACAACTCCCTTTTTTTTTTTTGGTCTAGTCATGTTGGAGATTCTCCCTCCTCTCCAAATTTGTGGTTTGCCATTTAACGTTATTATTTATGGTATTTTAGAAATCCAACACACTCAGAAGTTTTAAATATTTGTGATTAAATTTATCAAAATGACGACTTCTGGGCCATGGGTGGTGGTACACACCTGTAATCCCAGGAAGCTGAGGCAGGAGGATCCTCAGGAGGCTGAGGCAGGAGGATCTTGAGTTCAAAGCCAGCCTCAGCAATTTAGCAAGATGCTAATCAACTATATGAGACCCTGTATCTAAATAAATATGAAAAAGGACTGAGGATGTGGCTCAGTGGTTAAGTGATCCCACCCCCCAAAAAAGATGATTTCTGATGTTGTACTTAGTCATCTAAGAAAGGGCTTCTTTATTTTAGGGAATGAAAAAATTCAGCCTGGTGTAAAGGCACACACCTGTAATCCCAGTCTCAGCCACTTAGTGAGTCTCTGTCTCAAAATAAAAAGTAAAAAGTGCTTGAGATATAGCTCAGATGTAGAACACTCCTGGGTTCAATCCCCAGTACCTCCCCCTCAAAAAAAAAAAAATCCACTCATCTTTTTTCTAGTATTTTTAGAATTTTTTAATAAACTTTATTTTGGATTTAGATTTTCAGAAAACCTGGAATGATAATACAAAGCAAGCAAGATATATTTAAATGTCTACAACTTTGATCCATTTGAAATCTGTTTAAAGAATTGAAGTAGAGATCAGACTCCATTTTCTTTTATTTTTAATTTGATACATAATTTATTGAAGAATTGTTTTGAAGGCATTTAAAAAGTAACAAATGTAAAGATAAATTTTCAAAGCAATAAAAAAATCTATAAAATAAATTTTAAACATGATTTTAAATCACTTTTCTTCAAAATAATTGGTGATATATAGAAGTACCATAAAACCAAGATTTGTAATGATGGGATGCTGGAAGGTTCCAAAAGGTGATGAAGAAAGTAGAGCCAGAATTAGAAATTATTACTATGATGGTTAATATTATGTGTCAACCTGACTGAGCTACGGTGCCTAATTGTTTGGTCAAAACTCATCTAGGTGTTGCTGTGAAGGTATTTTTGTAGTTGTGATTAACACAATTGGTAGACCTTAAGTGAATATTACCCATGTGCAATGTGGATGGGTCCCATCCAATCAATTGAAGGCCTTACCAGCAAAGAATTAAGATTCCTGAAGAAGCACTGCTTCTAAAGACTACAACACAGAAATTCCAGTGCAAGTTTCCAGATCACTGGCCTGCCTAACCCCCACAACTGCAGGAGCCAATTCCTTAAAACAAATTCTACCCCATGTGTGTGTATTTATATTAAGTTCTGCTTCTCTGGAGAAGCCTAATCTCAAAGTTCTCAAAATTCTATGTCCTTATACATCCTAAATGAAATCAATGAGTATAATGGACTCACCAAGTGAGTTTCAGAATAGAATGCAAGGAAGAAAAAAAGACATCTTCTAGGGCTGGGGTTGCAGCTCAGTAGTGGTACAGTGCTTGCCTCACATGTGTAGGCGCTGGGTTCGATTCTCAGAACCACATATAAGGAAATTAAATAAGTGTCTATCAACAGCTAAAAAATATTAAAAAAAAAAAAAGACATCCCATACCTTTACAGTACAGCCATAGTGCTTAAAAGGACAGTCTTGTTCGGCTTCAGGACACACAGCCAGATGTTCATTCACCTGCAAAACAGACAACCTTCAGCTACAGAGACTCGCCTCTGATTATTCAACTGTCTGGTATAACTGCAGGGAGTCAGGGGTGGCTTGGGAGGAATGGAGGGACCGGGAAAAGAAGAGAGCTGGTAAAAGCTGGGATGAAATCTAAGAGTTCTGAGAGCAAAGAAAAGGGAAGATAGACACACATTTACCATGGGCATTTGCCTATGGAATTTTGTCAAACACCACAATGATTGCTTAAAACTTATCTTATATAGAATCTACAGAGAGGACTATTTAGTCACCTTAGTTCTTGGAATAATCTGCAAACACTTGTTGGGACAAGATACCGGGTACTCAGGACACAAGTTTTCTTCATGATTCTGAAAGAGAGAAAGTGATGAAAAACAGAGAAAGTCTCTTTTGTGGCCTCATAGTGATTGAAGGCTTGTCTCTTTGGGGATATATTTCATGTGTCTTGCTCTCCACAGGAAGTTATGGCTTAGTTCCAAAAAAAGTTTGCTTTCTGAGTGAAAATGAATTCAATTTAAAATTTAAATTTGTTGATTATTCCAAAAGAAGGTCAGAGAGCATGGGGTTCAAAGAAGGCAGCCTGGGGAATTACCAGTGTGGCTGCTCTGGCACATGTGAAAGGTACCCATGGTCTCTTTTGCCTGCCTACATCCAGCCTCTGCAGCTAGATCACACAATCTGGAGTGTAGCCATCCGCGTCACTTCCCTGTGATCCAGGCCTCACGCCACTCCACCCACACTCACACACGGCAGGTGTTCAAGTGCTATTTTTGCCAGTGATCAGTGAACAGAGTCCTGCCGCCAAGAGCCTTTCGAACTCAGATAATCTCACTCTATAGACCTGATTCTGTACATAAATAAATGCAGAAATGTGCTTCTGGTATCCCACCTGCCTCACTGCCACCACTCGGAACACAGCCCCACAGAGACGACTGTGCTTCTTACCTGTAGGTTGATCACTACTACATCCTTTTTGCAATAAAGGCATTTTTCCTCTCGAAACTGACAGTATGCGCTCAAATGCTCCTTCAGGTCTTTCCGGAGGACTGCTTCCCGACAGTTCTTGTTAGAACACTGCACAGCTTGAAGCAAGCACTGCTGAAGGTGGTCCTGTGAGGGGTAACAACAGGCTGCAGAACAGCGTGGTGGGAGGGACCAGCTGGAGGTCCAGTGAGGGCAAGAGAAGAGGGGCCCAGCTGGGCATGAAGACTGGCACAGGGGAGGAGGGGGCAACGTTTCCCCGGCTGTCCCTGAGGCCACCCACTGCATCTGCTAAGGACAGGACATGGAGAGGGCTGCTGGGACCTGAGCTCTGAAAGCTAGCCTTGTCTAGTGGGAATCAGGAGAAGAGAAGGGAAATTCATATCCCATTTGTTTTAGGTGATCTAGGAATCTGCTCATTTTCTCAGGTCAGTCCTGGGATATTTTCCTTAGGTTTGCCAATAACTTGCCAGTTCTTTGAGGACATTTTTTGTTTCTTTTGTTTACTCTCCATCCCCAGCACCTCATACTGGTTTGTGCATAGCAAATGGCAAAAGACAGAAGCAAAAGAAGGAAGGAGAAAGGGGCATCTCCTAACTCAATGAAGGAAAGTAAAGAACTAAGAAGAAGGAAAGGAAGGTGTTCTAGAAGTGGTTAAAAGAGAGAGAGAGAGGAAAACATGAGTTCATGGGCCAAAGGTAACAGGAATGGTCAAACTTATAAAATTAGGAAATATTCTTGCTGGGCACGGTGGTGCACACCTGTCCCAGTGGTTCAGGAGTCTGAGGCAGGAGGATCGTGAGTTCAAAGCCAGCCTCAGCAAAAGCAAGGTGCTAAGCAACTCAGTGAGACCCTGTCTCTAAATAAAATACAAAATAGGTCTGGGGATGTGGCTCAGTGGTCAAGTGCCCCTGAGATCAATCCCTGGTACCTTCCCCCACCAAAAAAAAAAAAAAAAAATCAGGAAATATTCTTAACTAGAACCTTAGAGATTAAGGACATGATAGTGTTCATTTTACGGTTCTTCATGTTCCGGATTTTTAAAAGCAGGCATATCTCAATAAAAACCATTAGATCATTGCAAGTTCTTGTGATGCTGACAAGGTACCAAAACCTTAGTGAACTTGTCTCCCTGTAAATCTGCTTCAGAGCTGGCAAGCTAAGGCCAACTGGCTGCATCTGGCCTGGCTACTTGTCTTTGTAAATAAAGTTTTATTGAATACCTGTTCATTCACATACTGTCTTGCTTGCTTCTAAAGTGGGAAGGCTGAGTAATTGCAATAGAGACCACCTAGACTGAAGAGCCCCAAATATTTACTGTCTATCTCTTAGCAGAAGCAGTTTGCTAACCCTTCTCTGAAGGAAAAGAGCAGCTTTTTTCAACAGCAGGATAAAGATGATAGCTATTTTTCTTTGCTTCTGATAATAAGAAACAAATGGTTCTTATTAATCAACATTGAAATTTCCAAATTTCATTGAGACAACACACCCAGTCAATAGTCATCAAAATTCTGCTACCTGTAAGATCCTATACCTTGCCACACAAGGGGGAAGTGGACAAGAAATAAAAGGAAATTGGGTGGAAAGGAAAAAGTAATCTGATAGGGGAGGGACATTTCCAGATGGAGGTAGTTAGGGGTGACCTCTCTCATTTGCGCTCTCTCTCTCTCTCTCTCTCTCTCTCTTTTTTTTTTTTTTTTTGGTTGGTACCAGGGACTGAACCCAGGGGGCACTTAACCACTGAGACACATCTCCAGCCCTTTTTTATATTTTATTTAGAGACAGGGTCTTGCTGAGTTGTTTAGTGCCTCACTAAGTTGCTGAGGGTGGCTTCGAACTTGTGATCCTTCTGTCTTAGCCTCCTGAGTCACTGGAATTGCAGGTGTGCGCCACCATCACACCTAGCAGGAAATTAAAAACAAAACGAAACAAACAAACAGGTTGAAAGAAACTAGCCCCTGTTCTCTAGTAGCCTGTGGTCTGGTCACTAGGGCTGTCTGATATGGGCTTAGTGACAAGAAAGTTGGATCTGAGGCCTCCTTCTAGGCCCCACCATTTATAGCAAGTAGCCAAGAACCGTCACAGGAAAGCAAAAATATTCTGGGAGCCTCCAAAGCACTCCCTGGGTTAAGAAAGAAATCATTTACACATTTATTACCTCAGTGCCTGGGGGATTTGGAGGCTTGATAAAGAAAAGGCTGAATCATCTGAAATACGTGTTCCAAACTGTGTGGGTGTAAGGGGAAAATTTCAGCAGCCTCCAGGCAATTCCCTGGAAGCCGGTGATGCCTGAGTCTTCCCTCATTCAGTGTGATCAAACCTGATATGGGCCTGGCAGGGCCACTTTTCCAACTTCCCATTAATAGCCTTCTCCCGCAGAATGAAAGAAATTCGAATCTTTTCACCCACACTTCCCCTATATACCAGGGGAAGTTGTTGGCATCTCATATCAATAGCTCACCTTTAAACCACATACTACTTCTTTCTGGTCTGTGTGATCTGCCTTGGGTCATAACTCTGCAGATCATAACCCACCCTCCACAACAACACACAGCAGATGCTTTCAGGGAGGGACCCTCACCATCATGTTTTTCTGCAGTCATGCCTGGCTCTGACCTCAGGGACTCCAACTCCTTCAGTTACCCCCAAGTGACACAGTCTTGTTTGTGCATTCGTTTTGCCTGGCATGTCCAACACCCTCTGTTTTGGCTCAGTGATCCCTACCAAGTAAAGCATGTACCCCCTGTGTCCTTCCTACACCTTGGTCCTTGGCAGCTATAGCATTGCCACTCACTGTATGACTAGCTGGGAATCCTCTGGGGCTAAGCCAGTGAATTCCTCTCTCATGCTGACCCAGGCACTGTGGCATCAACAGGTTTAACAAATGTCACTTAAAAGAAGGCAAAGGCAAACATTGGTCCTAAGTAAAACCAACCTGGTATCGTCCCAGAATAACCTTGGCATTGCATCCAGGAGCATTTTTGCAATATACGTATAAATTGAGAACTTCTCTTTTGCAGCAATTGTCTTTAAACACCTAAAAGATAAAGATGATAGGTCTTATTCCGATGCTGAACAGCAATGCAAATGAAGCTACTGTAAGTTTGATCTTCAAGTATATCTCTGAAGTCAGGTGGAAACTTCCAGTAGTTGGAATGGAAATATCACACTCATCACCACACTAAAAGAAAAGGCCATCTCAGATACATACATCCCACAAGGGAGGTAACTCAAGACTCAGTGCAAAAGGCTGCTACTGCTGGGAGAATCACATGGTGAATCTGACCCCACACAGTAAAGGTTAGGAGGTGGAGCTGTGGCCAAGGGTGATGCTTTCAGCTTCCTGTCCCAGGGTAAATCAGAGAATGTCCCTGAAGCCGTGCTGACTTGCTATTCAGCACTAACCAGGAGTTGGCAAACTTTCTCTGTCAGACAGCAAATATTTTCAGCTTTGTAAGCCACATAACAACCATCTCTATTGCCTTATTTCAACTTTTGCATGCAATACTTACAGGAACAGACATGACTGTGTTTCAATAAAACATTTACAGACACTGAAATTTGAATTTCATATACTTCTCATGTGTCACAAAAATTACTCATTTTCTGATTTTTAAAGTAAATTTTTATTTTGAAATTCAACCCCTTTTTTAAAAAAACATAAAACCAAAAACCATTTTCCTAGCTAACAGATCATATGAAAACAGGTGGTAGGCTAAATTTGCTCCAAGGTGTAGTATGCCAACCCCCCACCCCCGCCCTAATCTTGTGGGTCAGACAGACATTAGGTATAGCACAGTCCTCTGAGAAGCATTTGCAAAACCCATCATAAAGAGTTTAGAGAAGAAGCAAGGACATCAGACCAGGTGCTTGGGAAGGCCCCAGAGAAAGTAAAGCTTGGACATCCTGCAACACAATATTAGAGGAAGAAAACTGAATCTAATTAAGGGAAAGCTTAAGAGAGAAGAGCTTCATGATCATAAATTATACAAGAGTTTCTTAGATACAACACCAAAAGAACAAGCAACCAAAGAAATTGGACTTAAAATCAAAATGATTAATTTTTGTGCTTCAAAGTACACCATCAAGAAAATGAAAACAACCTACAGAATGAGAGAAAAATATTTGCAAATCATATATCTGATAAGAAATTTGTATCCAGAATATACAAAGAACTTTTATAACTCAACAATTACAAATCACCCAATTAAAAAGGAGGCAAAGGAGGAACTGGGGATATAGCTCAGTTGGTAGAGTGCTTGCTTTGCATGCACAGGGCCCTGGGTTCAATCCCCAGCACTTAAAAAAAAAAGGGAGAGAGAGGCAAAGGAATTGAATAGTCATTTTTGCCAATAAGCATATGAAAATATACTCGATGTTATTAGCCAAGGGAAAAAAGCAATTAAAACCACAAATGAATTCACTTCATATACAAGGTAAGGCTATACTCAAAAAAGACAGAATAGCAAATTTTTATGAGGTCTGGAGAAATAAAAAAACTAGATACAAGAACCTATATATATACACATATATATCTATCACACACTACACACACACTCACACACACACATATATAATATATATTCCATGTTGTATAATTATATCAAAATAAATTTTACTGTAATATATAACTAAAAAGAACCAATAAAGAAAAGGAAAAAGAGTGAATCAAAAAAAGAAAGAAAGAAAGAAATGGTTCAGTTGCTTTGGAAAACACTCTGGCAGTTTTCATAATGTTAAACATAGAGTATGACCCAGTAATTCCATTCTTAGATAATTAAGAGAAATACATAGGAATACATAAACACTTGTATATGAATGTTTATAGCAGTATTACTCATTATAGTTCAAAAGGGAAACAACCCAAGTGTCCATTAGCTAATGAATGGACAAACAAAAGTGGTATGTCTACACAAAGAAATGATATTCAGCAATAAAAATGAATTTGGTACTGATATGTTCTACAACATGGATGAACCTTGAAAACATTACGCTGTAAAATAACCCAGATACAAGAAGTCACATATTATGTGGTTCTACTTATATAAAAATATCCAGAATAGAAAATCCATAGAAGCAGAAACTAGGTTAGTAGTTTACAAGAGCTGAGGATGAGGGAGGGTGGGGAGTAACTACAGCACTGGACATGGGGTTGCTTCTTGGGGTAATGACAATATTCTAGAATTAGATACTATAGTAGCTTAATAATCTGTAAACACACTATAAACTACTGAACTCTACCCTTTAATAGGTAAATTTCATGGTATGTGAATTATATCTCAATAAAGCTGTTCACAAACATATAATAAAAGGAAGTTTTAGGGATCAACCAGATGAAAAGGTGAAATCTAGGCAGGATGCTCCACTTTCTCCCAGCAGCTTGGGGTGGCTAAAGCTAGTGTAGGAAGTGGGTGAGGAAGAAGCAGGAGAGGAGACCTGTGGGGGGAGGTGTGGTCAGCAAAGACCCAGGCAAGCTTCTCTCAAACAGGGGTAGGAGGGTCTGACTTGACCCGAAAACAGAGAAATAGAGGCTCCAAGGAAGGTCCCCCTTGACCACTCTCCTTAAGGTCCAATTCAACCCAGGACGCCAGCTTCTTCTTCACTATCACCCAGACAGATGCTAAGGCAAAGTAGTGATTTTCTTACCTCCTGAGATTTGATAACCTCCTTATCTACAGGGCAGATTGGCACTGCATTTAATTCTCTGGAGAGAAAAATAAAAATAGAGCCAGAATTAGACATTTAACCTCAATTGCTTTTTTAAGAGCAGTCCAGTACTCTAGCTACACTCCATCCCTGGTGGCTGGACCTTGACTTTGCACTTGCTATTCTCTACCCAGAAGGCACCCCTGGGCCCCTCCTTCTTTCAGTCTACCTGAAAAACTCCCATTCATCCTTCAGTATAGAGTCAAAAATGGAGTCCCCCAGACAGTGTTAAATGCCCCTGTCCTTTGCCATAATCTGTCTCCTTCACTTGACTGAGACATTCTAGAAGACATATGGCAGGTCCTTTTCCACACTATACTCTAGCTGTTCACCTCCCTACACTAGAGCTTAGGAGAGCAAGTGCTGAAGGTATGAACATGTGAGTAAATAAGAATGTTATTGATAACCCTTTTCAAAGTCAGCAGGATAAAACAACTGCCTTGAGGACCCTATAGAAGCCCCCTTAGAATGCTTCTTCACCTCTCCTGATCTTCAAAATGGCATGACCCAGGCTGCTACAGTTGGGATGTTGAATGTCCCCAAAGGCCCATGTGTTAAAGGATTGGTCCCCAGGCCGGTTCTATTGGGAGATGGTAGAACCTTTGGGAGCTGGGGCCTAGTGGTAGGTCCTTAGGTCATTGGGGGCATGCCCTTGGAGTGGGATAGTGAGACCCAAGCCCCTTTCTCTCCTTTACCTTTGTTTCCTGTCTGATAAGGTAACTGTTTTTTCTCCACCACATGCCCTTGCCTCCATGTGCTACCTTGCCACAGGCCCATAATATCAGGGCCAATTGATCATTTGGGACTGGAATCGCCAAAAATGAGAGCTAAAATAAGCCTTTTCTCATTATAAATTAATTATCTCAGGTGTTTTGTTATAGTGATGGAAATCTGACTAACACAGGGTTTATAGCTGCCCTGGAGTGGGCAGCAGCCATGGCAACAAGTCCTTTATGGATGTGACAGCATCTTTACCTCAAGGAAAGAACAGTCAAGGAAGTTACAACTCAGATGCTGTAAGATACAATCCATTCTTGATAGGCAACTCATGTCAGACTGTGCAACTGGGTCTATTCTGCCATGCAAAATGGGCAGAGTCTGGGTTTTGAGAAAAGGTATATATCATAAGTGGCAAAAAGTGAAGGTTACTCTTTAGGCCCTCACAGAGGACCCCTGAGAAAGCTCCTCCTATCTATTGTGGTTCTGTGGCCAGCGACAGGAATTCCCAAAACCATGATTACAGTTGAGTGGCGCAGCTGACTCTTAGATGCCAGGAACACGCCGCCTGGGTCTGGCCTGCTGTGGCTGGAGCTGCAGGCCCTGCCCACTCACCTCAGGGACAGGATGCAGTGCTGGCAGAAGCGGTGCCCACAACCCGTCTGGTGGGGGTTGTGAAGTACCGAGTGGCAGAAGGCACATTTGTAGCGCTCTTCCAACTGCTCCACAAACTGGTATTCTGTGTGGGGCTCAAAGTCCAAGGAGATGGAGTTGCTGGAATTCTGGCGGATGAAACCACAGGGGGCTTCTCCTTGTTCTTCTGAGAAAGCCATTCTGGGGAGTCGGGGGAAGAGAAGGAAAATTAAGTGTGAAAACATCCAAACGATACAGCCACCAAGTGTTCAATTACTTGTTTCAAAATTAGTGAACATCACCCGCACGCTCATTCTGTTATGATCTGTTGACAACAATAATAACTTCCTGCTAATGGGGAGGCTCCTGCAAAGGTGAGATGACCTTGGGGTACGGGCCAGGAAGCTGGTCCAGATGACCTCTAGCAAGATTCTCTGAGACTTTAGCTCTTTGTTCATTAACCTTTTATAGGATGCTACATTGTCATGTCAGTTTGGCCACATGTTTGGATAAAATATTGCCAGGGGTTAAGTACATTATAAGCAAACTATTATGGGTTTTTCTTCCAAAATTGAGAGAATTGAAACAGATGTTTTGTTAAAAAAAATTCCAGAAGCAAATGTCTTATACACAAATACATTTCTTACCATCAATCTTGATCTCCCCTCGCTCCCTCACACACACTTTCTTCCCACTCCTCTATCTTAACAGACTGAATTTTTATCTCCCCCTGGCCCCCCAAATTCATGTTGAAATCCTTACCCATGAGGTGATGCAATTAGAAAGTGTAGGCTGAGGAAGGTAATTAGGTCAAGAGGGCAGAGCACGCATAGTGACTTTATAAAAGAGGCCAGACAAATGAATTAAACAGACACTTTTCAAAAGAAGAAATACAAATGGCTAACAATAACAACAACAACAACAAAAAAAAAACATGTTCAACATCTTTAGCAATTAGGCAAATGTAAATCAAAACTAAACTGAGATTTCGTCTCACACCAGTCAGAATGGCAGTCATCAAGAAGACAAATAATAATAAATGCTGGAGAGGGTGCAGAGAAAAAATAAATTTTTATACTGTTGGGATTATAAATTAGTACAAACACTATGGAAATCAGTATGGAGGATCCACGAAAGACAAGGGATAGAGCCAACATATGACCCATTGTATCACTCCTCAGTATTTATCCTAAAGAATTAAAGTCTTCATACTTCAGTGATACATGCATACTCACGTTTGCAGCAGCACAATTCACCATGACCTAACCATGGAACCAGTCTAGTTATCCATCAAATGAAGCAAATGTGGTATATATACACAATGGAGTTTTATTTAGCCATAAAGAAAAATGAAATTATGTCATTTGCAAGAAAATGCATGGAACTAGAGAATGTCATGTTAAGTCAAATAAGTCCAACTCAGAAGGTCAAGGGTTGTGTTTTCTCTCATATACGGAAGCTAGAGAGGAAAAGGAAAAGAAAGATGGAGTGGATCAAAGGGAGATCAATAGACGACAGGGACCAAAGGGTGGGAGACAGGCAGGGAGGAGGGAAGTTACATTGTGTGCAAGTATGAGTATCTAACGACAAATCCCATCATTATGTGCAACTATAACACATCAGTAAATATGTGGAAAAATAAATAAATGAAAAGCTTCTTCACCCTCTTGCTGCAAACAATAAATCTGCAAAGTGCAAGAGAGGGTCCTCATCAGAACCCAACCATACTGGTACCTTCATCTCAGACTTAGAATACCCAGAACCATGAGAGTGAAATTTCTGTTGTTGATAAGCTCCACAGTCTATGGTACCTTGTCAGAGATAGCAATCCAACCAAGACCAGTGCCAAGTTGCATCATTTCTCACCTGAATGAAAAAGGAAACCATTAACTGCTTCCTCCTCCAATTCATTTTCCATGCTACCTAGCCAGAGTAATTATTTTCAAAATTCAAGTATGATTTAAAGTTATCGCCCTTTGTCTCTCAGGGGCTTCCCCAATCTCTGAGGGAAAGTCTACAGTGCTGAACACGCTACAAGGCTGTATCCTTCCCACCTAGTGGCATCCTGGTCTCTCTCGTCCTTGCTTTCAGCACTCCTGCCATGTATGCATTCTTTTGGTTCTTTTTATACACTTCACAGGGCCTTTGCAAGACTGTTGCCTGTGTCTGGAACATCTTTGTCTCTTTCCAGTCTTCTTCACTTGATGAACTTATACTCCAGGTGTGACTTTCAAGAGTCATATATTCAGGTTAAGCTTTCTCTTCTCCTCCTGGTCTATGACCAGTTTGTAAAACATGTATGTGGACTTCAGAGAGGGTTGGGAATATGAATAGATGAGGAACAAGATTTTTTACTACATCATGAAAATCACTACATTCATTTAAAAATAAATGCATTATCAATTAAAAAATAAATAAATATAGAAAACAAAAGCTAAACATCCACTAAATCACATCACTTATAGAACCAGGTTTCGCTCCTCCAGTGCAACACTTGGTCTGACATTAGACAACATTGGTGCAATTTTTTGATTTATGTTTGTGTCCCTCAGTGACACACAGTTTACATCTGGTCTTGCTCCTCATTGTATTCCCATATCTAGCATTATGCCTGGCGTGGAGAACAAGTCAGCTATTCACTGAAATAATATTTTTAATTCTACAAAACATTGAAAAACCCTCAATAGCGCAACCTCATTAGTGCTGGTCTCTAATGTAGCCATTTTTAACATTTTGTGTGTGTGTATGCAAGATGCCCCCCTCTTTGAAAATGTCATGTAAACTTTAGATCTTCACACACACACACACACACACACACACACACACACACACACACACACACCAGCAGATTTCTGAACATTTTAGGACCTTGGGAACATACTAGTTCTTCCCAATTGAGAATATTCTAGCCTTGCCAGCAGAGGTTACTTTGGGGCACCGTGTAGAAATGTGCTTTCAGAATCTGGCTAAAGGTTAAAAGACGGGAGGCCTTTTGGAGTGGTTACTGGAGATACTACCCCTCCACATCGCCAGTGTCGAGAAGGCCTGACCTGCAGACTTGCTTGGTTTGGCTGCTCTGGAGATCCTTATGACTCTGCTGGGCCTGGGAGCAGCTGCAAGCTCAAACAAGCCAGGGGAGAGACACACAGCCCCGTTTGCCACCCAGCTCTGCTTGGGTCATCTGCTTGCCTTTCTTTCCTATGTAACCTGTCTGGCTTCTCTCCCTGCCAGAGAGGTGGAAATCTGGAGTGTGGCTGGGGAGAAAGGAGCAGAGTAAACAACTGGCCTCTTTAGGCAAATAAGCTTTGTCCTTGGAGGATTCTGGCAGACCAGGGGACTTTTTTTTCAATCCTGAGGTTTGAGACCAGAACCTACCCCACCTCTTCCCTTTAGCATGTGTTTCCTGTAAATCTTGACAGATGAGAGGTGAGTGTTATTATTCCCCTTTTAACGTGGTTTGTTCTTGGTACTTAACAAAGTTTTAATTCTGAAGATGAAGAGGTATGCCTCTTTGCATGATTTTCACGCACAACCCTAATAACCAAAAAGCCACCTTTCTCTGAGAAAACTGCAAGAACCAATCTCCCACTGCCTTAACCTGCCCTGTGGTCTCTAGTCTCAAGGAAGGATGACATTTCACATCCTACACCCTTAGATCATGTTCTATGACCCTCTGGGATTCTCTTCTAAGACAAAAATCATGCCTGTGTCACACAGCATCTAAATATGGAATCTTGGAGATGCACCCTAAAGTTAACAGACTCATTCAGTCTCTAGAACAAGCAGGGAGATGTACAAAACTCAGTTCAGTTTTCCTCCACTACATTCTGTCTTCTTTCCCAGCACAAGAATCTGTTGCACTCATCTATATGTCCATCTTTCTCTACAACAGCAGTTCTCAAACTTTGTGGTCTCAGGACTCCTCCCCTTTCACATTTAGTATGGTTTGACTATAAATGTGTCCCCCAAATTCCTATGTTGGAACTTAAGATCCAATGTGATAATACTAAGAGGTGGGGCTTTTAGGAAGTGATTACATCATGAGGGTAGCACCCTCATGAATGGGATCAGCAACCTTATAAAGGGGCTGGAAGGAATTAGCAAGACATTTTGCCCTTCTATTCTCCTGTCATGTGAGGACACAGCAAAAATGTGCCACCTTAGAAACAGAATAGCCCTCACCAAACACTGAACCTGCCAGCGCCTTGAACTTCCCAGCCTCCAGAACTGTGAGATAAATTGCTGCTCTTTAGTAACCCGTAAATTTTATTCTAACAATACAAACAAACTAGATGATACCCTTAAAAATTCAGGACACAAAGACCCAGGATAGCCAACGAAATATTGAAGGAGAAGAACAACATTGGAGGACTGACACCATTCAACTTCAACACTTACACAGTAATCAACAACAGTGTTAGTGTGACCCGTGGAAGGACAGAGAGCCCAGAAATAGGCCCACATCAATACAGCTAACTGACCTTTGACAAGGTAGTACTGTTCAATGATGCAAAGCCAAATGGTGCCGGAACAATGGGACATCACATTTAAAAAAAAAAAAAATGAGCCTAGACACAGATCTTACACACATCCCAAAATTTAAATTATAATGGATCACAGATACAAATATAAAATGAAAAACTATAAAATTCCAAGAAGACAGTGTAGGAGAAAAAAATCTAGTTCTTGGGTTTGGCAATGACTTTTGATATAACACCAAAGGCACAATCCAGGAAAGAAAAAAAATCGATATGCTAAACTTCCTCTCAGTTTTGCTGTGAAGCGAACGTTGCTCTAAAATAAATCTATTTGTTAAAATGAGGACTCCTAAGGTATTTTGTTCATGTGAATTTTATCTATCAATATTTACTGTATTTGAGATTAAAAGTGATAAACTTAACACTATTTCTTTATTGATTCACTTTAACATAATAAGCCAATCATATGTTTAATATAAATAATATCTTTGAGAAAAAAAAACATTTTCACACACACACACACACACACAAAATCAGTAAAAAGAGTGGCACTGTTTTTGCACATCTCTTTATTATCTGGCTTACAAGAAGATAGCTGAATTCTGGCATCTGCTCCTACATTTGATCTGCAGCATCACGTGTCACAGCGTCTGGAAAGCAACTCTGAGCATTTGGGAAAGAAGAGCGAAAGTGGTGAAGGATGTTTTAGTATTATGAAAATAG